TAGCAACACAGACTATGACAATGGTTAATTTTGTTTTTGCCATGACAAAAAATTCAACAGTATTGTCTTTCTGATTATCCATCATTACCAAGCACAAAATACTGTAGCTGCATTATGAATTGCACATGTGCTCTCACATGGGAATTTTTTACTTTTTGAGTTTACGCAAGCTTTCGTTTTCTTTAAACTCCTCTGCCTGGCCCCCTTGTAAAAATTGGAACAAAAATGACAAGGCGAATGTGATGTCTTCAACTGAAGGGAAGCAAATCCAGTCACATAAGAGCATTAGCTCTGTGTAAAACTCAAGCCCCTACAACTCTGGAGGAGAGATTTCCTGGGGAAGGACTCGAAGAAGTATACCAAGAATGCACTCAAGGCATAAAGCTGGTATAATTTAGTAATATCAGTCTGAAGAGGCAGAATGGGACTCAAAGAACTGCAATTTTAACCCTGCTGAAATGCTTCAACCAATGTTCAACCCTGGAAATAACATCTCACACTCAGAATTTAAGTTGCTTCTTGACAGTATGTAGTTTAACCTTTTTTAAAAAAAAATAATTTCTTAGTATTACTTCAAATGAAAACTATCATATCCTTGAAGACAAGCTTGTTACTCTAACATCTGTGATGCTAAATAAATATTTTCTGAAGAACTGAGCAAGTAAACATTCATACCTCATTTTTAGTGATGTATTGAAATTAACCACGTTTTCTCTACTATTGCATAATGAGCTATTAAGCATAACTAGCAACAGTCTCAAAAGGATCAGTTTCAATTTCATGCTGACTTCCATAGTTCTCTTTCCTGTATCCATCCATTTTGTCACTGACTCCTAATTACCCCCAACCCTAGAGAAACCATTCTAAATCTTCTTTACTCTCAAATCCCCTAAACTCCTCGAATGTCCTCACTTTTGTGGTGCCTTGCTCTATTTTTCTAAAAAACCTGAAATCCATGATTTCCCACTCCTTCACTCCAGCATTTCTATTTCACTCTGCTATTTTCAGAACAACAGACATAATGATTCTCCTTTTTTCCTTCTTTCTGTCACCACTTCCACTCTAAGAGAACCAGTCTGCAACACCTTCTTCGGAATCTTCCACTCCAGTAGGCCGTGGGGTTTATTTTTCTCATTCCTCTCCTCCTCACTTCAGCAGAAATGACCTCTCCCATTCATTCCCATCTTCAAACTATACCAGACCTTCAAGAAATTACCTGACGAAGCACAGACCACTCTGATTTGTATTAGTTCTTTCTCCTCTCAGCTACCAAAACACTTACTGTGTACAACATTTACATCCCAAATAATTACATCCTGCCTTGTGGATATATTTTATATATAACTATTTTTAATGTGTGCCCTTCCATCCCCAAATGATAACATTTACAAGTTATTTTAAAGCAAGGGACTGTCTTTTGCCTCACTGCATGAGACTACCTTTTTTATAATGTGCACTCAAATATTTTCTGACAAGAAAGTGATAATATCAAAAAACTAGAGATAGAACTGCCATATGATCCAGTGATACTGCTCCTGGGCATCTGCCCAAAAGAACGTAAAACAGGATACAGTAGAGACACTTGTACACCAATGTTCATCGCAGCACTATTCACAATAGCCAAGCTTTGGAAACAACCCAGATGCCCTACAACTGATGAATGGATCGTGAAATTATGGTATATATACACAATGGAGTATTCCTCAGCCCCAAGGAATGGGGTTTGAAAGTAAATGGATGCAATTAGAGGACTTCATGTTAAGTAAAGTTAGCCATGATCAGAAACACAAAAGACACATGTCTTCTCTCATATGTGGTAAATCCAAAGATAAACATATACACAAAAACAACATGATCATATACAAACTCAGTTGCAGAACATGTTTGTAACAGTGAAACTACTCTATGGAACTCGGGGAAAGAGAGAAGGAAAAGAGAATGATAGAGCATCAATAATATTGCATATCACAAGATGTGAAGGTAGAGGATATGAGGATGTGTACTGAAAGATGCTGAAAAATGGGAGATGGGAGGTAAAGGGGTAAGGGAGGGTATTTGAAGGGATTGAACAGTCCAAAGTAAAGCACACCCAGAGAGGGCATACACTGAGACAACACTTTGGACGTCAACTTAAATATTAATTATGAAAACCAAGACTGTAAAATAGGCACAGTGTGCATGGGGTGTATGGGGGGGTACTAGTGGGAGGAGGCAGAATGAAGGAAGGAGATTAAGGTGACAGTTAAGGTAGATGGGCTTCAACTTACATGAAACAGAACTAGAAAAACCTTCTGCAATTGCTTTAAGTGGGGTGGGGAGGGGGCTGAGGGGGTGAGATGATGGGGGCAATGTAACTAATGTACAATGTAAGTCTAACCAGAATTGTCACTATGAAACCCTCTGTATCAGAATATATCCTAATAAAAATTTATTTTAAAAAAAGTGGTAATAAGTTTACTCAAAGATAAACTTTTCTATGACTCTCGCCATATTCATCATTGCAGTTATTTAACATATGTATTCTTCTTACCATTTGTCCATACCAGCTTTGTCTAATCAAAGGCAAAGTCTTCTCTTAAGAAGGATTCTGCCCATGAAACTTATTTTGTAATAATATTAACCACAGTCCCTAAAGCGGTGTTTCTGGAGAAAATAACAATTTAAAACAGGATCCAAAGTATCACAGATAGGATTGAGAGGATCCTTTAATGCAAAACTTGAAGCTACCTACAAAAATATGTGTACATGCTGCATTTTACTAGGGAGCAAAGCCATACTTTTCATCAGATTTTTTTCCCCTCCTTAAGACTTCAGATTAAAATTTTCCTCAAAAAAGTTGAACATAAAATTATCATGTTCACTTTTAGATTCCACTTTTAGATACATGCCCAAGAGAACTTAAAACGTTATGTTCTCAAAAAGAAAACTTACACGTGAATGTTCATAGCAGCATTATTTATAATAGCCAAAAAGAAGAAACAATCCTAATATGCACTAACCCATGAGTGGATAGACAAAATGTGGGGTTCATACAATGGAGTATTATTCAGCTAGAAAAAGAAAATTAAGTATGATACATGCTACAATATGCAAGAATCTTGAAAAACACATTAAAGAAGCCAGCCATAAAATGCCACATATTGTATTATTCCATTTATGTATGTCCAGAACAGACAAATCTATAGAAAGAGTAAATCAATGTATACCAGGGGCAAAGGGGAGTGATTGTTAATGGATACCAGGTTTTTTGGAGCAGTGAGGAGGGGTGATGAAAATGTTTTGGGATTATAGTAATGATGGTTATACAACCTTGGGAACATACTAAAAACCCACTGAATTATACAGCTTAAAAGAGTGAATTTTAAGGCACATGAATACTGTAAACAATAAAAACCTCCTCTTTCCTAGCTGCATGCCTGATGCCTTCTTTTGTGTCATGCCTAAGCTCTGTGCATTGCAGGATGCTGTATTATAAAAAATCTGGAGATGCAGTGAGGGAACCCACAGTGATGTTTACATAGGCTGATCTGGTAAGGTCTCAGGTGTTGATACACTTTGAAATCTGAAGAATATGTGAAAAGCAGAGGGGGATAAGTGTCAGTCACATCACTGCTAGAAATCAGCCCTGAGCCCAGACCAAGGATTTCTGTAGAACATGGTCAGTAATTTGTTTTATTCTACATCCTAAGTGCTGCTGAATGGAGAAGGGGCAGGAGGGGGCACAATATAGAAAACTGGGACACAAGTCAGGAAAATAAACTAGTGAGTTAGAAAAAAAAAAAATACACATGATTTGGATTAGAGGATACCAGAAGATAAAAGTAGATCAGACGCAAAGTTGCTTTACTTGTAAAGTCATCAGCTTTACAAGAAATGAAAGAGACAAAAGTTTAGGAAACTGTCACTGGAAAAAGTTAGAAAGTAGGCATACTACAGAAACAGGATCAGAAGGATCTCAGGCCCTTAATGAGTGACTATTCAAGAGGTTGGTCATTTTTAGTTTACATTGTCATCAATTAGTACAGGATTTTTTCCTGCAAAGTTCAGCCAGACAGGTGTAGGTGCAAAAAAGAGCAAAACACTGGGTTCCTAAGTTTTTTCTTTTCCCTAGCATAAAATGCAGGGAGTGATAACAGTGTATTTTCAAGGAAGAGCTTATAATGATAAACTATGACATGACATAAGGGGGTGCAGTGGACAGAAAATGGAAGGATCGATGCACTGGAGGTGTAACTGGAGGTTCCTGAGACAGTTCAGGAACTGTCTCTCTGAAGCAAATAAGCAAGTGAGCTATAAAAGTAGGAGAAAGTAGATAGTAGGATGCTGAAAATGGGCAAAAAAATACTCTGGATCAAGCCTGGCGCGGTGGCTCAAGCCTTGTAATCTTAGCTATATGGGAGGCTGAGATGCGGAGGCTTGGTCAAGGTGCAAGGGCAGGCCAGGCAAATAGTTTGCAAGACCCCATCTCCAAAATACACAGAACAAAATGGACTGGAGGTGTGGCTGAATTCAAACCCCAGGCCCACCCCCACCCCCCCCAAAAAAACCATCTCTCTGGATCCCTAAGATGCAGAACTGCCTTGGATGCAGTGCATGGAGCAATCTTTCACTAAATGCTAACAGGGATCCCTGCTCGTCGTGGACCTCCAAAGCTCACCCATGCGCTAAACCAGGTTTCCACAGAAAACGGATAAAACTCACAATATCTGTTCACCAAAGTCCCAGGTGATTTCCATTTGCCTTAAAGGTGGTCTCCAACACATTCAACGCACCCCGTGCATGCAACAGCACGTTGCAGGATGTGGGAATACGGCGCCTGTACAACGGCCAAAGACCTGGATGCCACAATTTGAGAAAAGTCCCATTCACTAAAAAAAACAAAGTCACTTTCCTCAAGGCCTAAAGCGAGGCCCAAGACACCTGGGATGAGGCTAATGCAGGCAGCCACGTGAGTCACGGGCACAGGTTGGCAGTAGGTCCGACCTCAGCCTGGCACCTACCTTCCGCCCCTGCAGTTCCAGGAGCCAGGACCGAGTGAGCACTCTGCGCCGAGCCTGCAGCCATGGCTACGGCAACCAGACGCTGCACAAGTGGACGCTGCAGAAATAGGCGCCTCCAGGCACCAGGGCCCTGGAGCAAGTCGACCACCGGAAGGACCTGCGCGTTCCTCCTCCTCCTCTGCCGGAACCGACCCTCCCTGGGTCACGTGACGGCGCGGGGCGGGGCCACGCGCGTTTGTTTTGATCCCTGGTTGTTGGAAGGCATCAAACACGTGGTCTGGGTTGTGGCGCTTTCTACCTTTCCCAGAGCTTAGCTTCTTCCGCGTAGTGTTAACTTCGTATCTGCTCCTCCTCCATCTGTAGTCAGGTTCTCCATTTGTGCCTTGGCTTTTGCCCACGCAATAGGATTAGCGTTTTAAGGGACATTTATTTTGTGGGGCTTCGGCTGATGGGCTAGGTTGTGTGCTTGCGGGCTCTGCGGCTATTCCTATGGCAGGATCTGGCTTTCTGCCTGCCTGGAAATATGAACCTCGGAGTGTCCTTTGCTTGTGTTCGCGACTCTGAGAGCCAAGTTGCTAGACTTGGTTTTTCAAGGACGCTAACAGCTGTCAAGACTTCTGGATTGTGTATCAAAACAGACAGCCTGGTCAAGAGACCAACAAGCTCCACTTTTTTTCCTGGGTTAACTCCTGTTCTGGTCACAATCATAACAGGAGATGGATCTACATCACTTTAGGGCAAATCTCCCAACCTTCATCAAGATAATCATTGCTTGCCTCATAAGTGATAGTCAAAATGGGTAGAAAGATTGTATCTCTCAAATCTATGAATGAAACTGGCCAGTTTATGATCTCACTGGATATGTGACAGGAAAAGACACAAAAATGGTTTTCATGACAATCTCCTGGGCCCCTCCTACATCTCAATCTTACTCTATCCTTACCTACAATTTCTGACGTTATAATCCCCATAATAACAAAAGCCCAATATAGAAGCAAGCTTTAGGTTGAGTGGGCTGAGGTCAGCGAGTTATTAGGCACATGATGTAAACTCGGACACTTCCTCCAGCAATCTATGTGTTGCTTGCCCAACCTCTGGGCCATAGCCTCTCTGGGAGTCCCGGCCTAGCCGCGCGCCTCGCTCTTCCCTTCCTCTGCGTCCTCGCTCGCTCACTCGCTCGCTCGCTCGGGGACCCCGGCTGCTGAGCCCCGGCCTACCCCGCAGGCAGGGCGGACACCGGCTTCCCCGCCTCCCGCTGGCCCGCTCGGGCGGCGCAGGCGCAGAGGCGCGGTCGGGAGGCGGAGGGCGACCCCAGTGGCTTGGGATCCGGGCTCCACCGGCCGCGTCCGCGGCCACCGGGCAGCGCCGGGAAGGCAGGACCGGCGGGCGGCCGTCAGCATGGGCTCGAGCTGGAGCAGCGAGGAGGAGCGGCAGCCACTGCTGGGACCGGGGCTCGGGCCTGGGCCGGGCGCGGCGCGGCGCCGGGAGGCGGCGGCGGTGCTGCCCGCGGTGGGCGCGGGTCCGGGCCCCGGGCGGGTATACGGTCGCCGCTGGCTGGTGCTGCTGCTCTTCTCGCTGCTCGCGTTCGCGCAGGGCCTCGTGTGGAACACCTGGGGCCCCATCCAGAACTCGGCGCGCCAGGCCTACGGCTTCTCCAGCTGGGACATCGCGCTGCTGGTGCTGTGGGGGCCCATCGGCTTCCTTCCCTGCTTCGCGTTCATGTGGCTGCTGGACAAGAGAGGTGAGGGGTCGCTCTAGGGTAGGGGGGACAGCCCTCCTCAGGGCCCGCCATCCTCTCCCTCGCCTTGGCCTTAGGGTATGTGTAAGGTGACTTGAGTGTCCATGGCATCCCATCCCCAACTGAAGAACCCTCTGTCCCCAAAGCGACAAATACGGGGAGTCTGCTTTGCAAGTATTTGTGTTATTAAGGCCCTTTATGCAACACTAGGGATTTAAATGGTCAAGTTTTTGCCCATTGTGGACATCAGAGCATTCCAGTACACTTGCTGTGGATGTTTCTTACACCTGGCAAAAATAATGCTTTGACTTCTAAGGGATTTGGGGGATGATTAGAGCGAAAACTCAGAAAAAGGAATGAGGTGCCCAGATGTAAGGAAGTAATGAGTTGACTTTGTATAATGGATGACTCCAGCCCTGGAAGAACTATTGGGACACTCAGCTCTGACGCTTGGCTTTCTGGAAGGTAGTGTGCCTACCCAGGTGGCTTTCACACTTGAGTTTTATGACTCAGATAAAGCTTGGAGGTGAAGGAAGGCTGTCTTTCGTAGAGGGGTACTCTGGACAGCTCACTTTGCCATTTGCCAGTGTGATTCTTTGAGGAGGGGGAAAAGGTCATAGGGTTGAGGATCAAGGCATTGAATTATCCCACTGTAACTATGGTAAATGATTGGTGGTGATGGTCTACCCTCAAGGGGCTGTTGTGTAAGATTTTAGATTTATTAATTGAATAATGATTGGGCACTACTTTGTATAGTTTCTCTATACAAAAAGTTCAGCCTTTTTTATAAGTTTGTTAAATTCTTTGGTCAGATTTGGAAAGTTGTCTTAGTCCACTGGGTCTGCTATTACAAAACGCCATAAACTGTGTTCCATATCAACAAACTTGTTTCTAACAGTTCTGGAGACTGGAAATCCAAGATGAAAGTTTGAGCAGCCTCCATGTCTGGTGAGGGCCCACTTCCTTTACAGTGGTCTGTTCTTTGAACTTCTCATGGAGGAAATGGCCAAAGATTTCTCTGGGGTGTCTTTTTAAGAGCATTGACTTCATTTGTTGGGGTTCTTCCTTCTGAACTTAATCGCCTCCTAAAGGATTTCAGCATATGAATTTGAGGGGCACCATAGGAAAAGTCAAGCATAGGTTGGTATAGCATTGCAATTGTCTGGTACACAGCACTCAAATGATTTGTTATTAAGCGAATAGAATGGCAGGATGATGTTAGCAACTATGCTCCCTATCTCATTCTGACAATTCCTTCACAGGAATCCATATGCAAAAGTCTACGAAATTGTTGATTGTGAATTCATTTGTGATCAACAATGTGATGCAGCCGCTAAGAAAGAGGGAGGACAATTTTAGGCACAGGACCATGGTGTCCAGAACAAGAAGAAAGTGGCTTGGTATATTAGATAGTAGCATTTAGTTCTGATCATTGATTTTTTGGGAGAGGGAATTTGAACTCAAATCCTCATGCTTGTTAGGCTGGCACTCTCTTACCGCTTGAGCCATTCCACCTGTGCTTTTTTGTGATGTTTTTTTTTTTCCCCTGAGATAGGGGGTCTCTCCAACTATTTGCCCAGGGGTGACTTGGAACCACTGATCCTCCTGATCTATGCCTCTTGAGTAGATAAGATTACAGGCACCCGGCTGAGCATTGATTTTAAGAAGGTCATTTGACAAACTGGAGTACTTTAAAGTTGTGTAATAAGAATGATAAATGGGGTAAAAATCAAGATGTGTAAGATGAAAGGAATTGGGTGTGTCTTAACTTTAAAAAGAAACTTGAGGCAGAATACAGGATGTTGTGTAGATCAAGTAAAAGAGGAATCAGACTTACTATGTGTAGTTCTAGAAGAACTAAAGTTAGTGAAGTCCCAAGCAAAACAAGGAAGATCTTCTAACAAAAGATAGCCAGCCCTGGATGGGAGTGTCTTGAACGGTACAGAACTTCTGGGTACAGCAGGTACTTATGAAAAGGATGCCAAGACAGGACTTCTCATACCAAATGGAGATTTTCTTTGTTTGGGGCTTTTTGTTTGCTTTAAAACTAAACTGTAGTTAGACTTTATTTAGATTTCATTAATTTTCAAACTGTTTTTTTTTTCCTCTTTTAGATTCAGTTTGGGGTCTTACATTGCCTTTAGTTGTTATTTCTTCTTAGTATCCTCCCATCTGACAGTTCCTTCATCATGCCTTAAAGTGTTGGCCAAATTTAGGAGTATCAAAAGACAGAATTACAGCAAACTTAATTATAGGTCTAATTGGCTTTTATTTGTGATTCATCAATCAGGCAGCCTCCCTCCATTCTACAAAATAGAATGAGTACTCCCACTGGCAAAAGGAGGACATTGGGTTTTGTAGGTGGAACCAAGGAACAGAAAAATAGGAAAAAGTTGAGTGGTTAACATCAGTCAAGATCACTTTTGTGTAAAGGCTAAAGTAGAAGGAGCTTCTTATTAATTGCATTGACTCAGGTAGACTGAAATCTGTTTTCTGGAAAAACTGTTTTGTTTTATGATCTAAAAGTTTCAATTTGATGTTATTAGCATAAGTGGCTCCATTTTGGTTTGGTCTGGTCTGTTTGGTCCTAATGCTCAGTCCAAAACAGTGGCTTCCCATAAATTTTGTTTTAACAGAGGAAAATGCGGTTTTGTAGTTTCTTTTTCTTTTTATCAGGAGAATTTTTCAATATTTTCTAAATTTAATATTAATTTTCACTCTTCTTTTTTAATTTTATTGTTGTACTGAGTGGCACATTGTAGCATTTACAAAGATTCTTATGCTGTATCAAATATCTCATACTTGAATTCACCCCCTTCACCATTCTCTTTTATTCCCCCCCCCATTCAGGAAATAATTTCAACAAGTTTTTTTTTTCTATTTACATTCAGGTGTACACAGTATTTTTACACCATATTCACCCTTCACCCTTCTTTTTATGATCGTATCTATTATCCAGAGCCAGATAAATTAGAAACTACCTATCCACTTCAGAAAATAAGTTACTTTAGGAGTTACTTCATAGTTCCTATCATTATATGGTAAATTCAGTTTTATATTTCCCATTGGTTGAAGCAATGAAAAATAAATTTAAAAATTCTCTTTTTTAGAAAGTGTTTCCCTTTCATATGTTGACTGTCCTGCTGCAGGTGTCCCATCTGAAAACATAGAAATAAGTTGTCAGCTTCCCCTGGGTGCTAAGATACTTTGCTCCCTAGAAGGTAGGTAGTTGTCTGCTCTTTATGCTGCCACAGGTCCCACCCACCCTGTAAAATGGATGTTGTACCTTCCATCCCTTTGCATTTACCAGCAAGAACACAGAAAAGAACTTGCTAGAGAGACAGGAGAGCCAAGAGCAAGTAGGCCCTGGAAACCAAGTGAAGAAAGTTTCAAGGAGATAGCAACCAAAGCTGTGCTAAACCCAGAAGATAGAACCCTCACAGAGTCTACATCTAGTGAGAAGATCAATGTTTAGTATGTCAGAGGGTGATAAATGCTTTGGAGAAAAAAATAAAGCAGGGTAATGAAGGAAAGGAATGTGATTGGGAGGTGTTCTAGTTTTTTTGTTGTTGTTGTTATTTTTTGGTTTTTTAGTGGTACTGGGGTTTGAACTGAGGGTCTCGTGCTCTACCACTTGGGCCGCTCTGCCAGCCTTGTTTTGTGTTGGGTGTTTTCAAGCTAGGGTATCACAAACTATTTGCCTGGGGCTGGCTTCAAACCTCTGCCTCCAGAGGAGCTAGGATTACAGGCGTCAACCACCAGCACGTGCTAGTGTTATAGTTTTTGTAGGATGTCAAGGAAGTCCTCACTGTAAGTGAGTGTTTAAGTATGTGCCTGAAGGGAAAAGGAAGCCTAAGGTGTTGATTCTGTATGAGACTGTTTAGGGAGAGGAATGGCAAAGACAAAGGTCCTAACTTGTTTGGCATATCCAGGAAAGAGCAAAGAGCTTTCTGTGGCTGGAATAGAGATAAATGGTGGAAAGAGATGAGGTCAGAGAGATGGGAGGCCAGCTCATCCAGGGACTCATATGCCATTACAAGGACATTGGTGATAAGGAGTGAGGAGGATTTGTTATTGAAAGTCTTTGAGCAGAAGAGTAAAGGTTGACTCTGCTATTGTCTTGAGGATCAGAGCCAGAGCAGGAAGACCGGGCAGATGGGAGCTAATAGTGGCTTCCAACCAGAGTGGTAGCAGTCGAGAATTTGAGAAGTGGTTAGATAGCAGGTATATGTTGAAAATAGGCTCAGCAGCATTATTGATGACTCTGATATAGTGAAAGAAGAGAGAAGTCTAAGATACTTCTCAGCTTTTTAGTATTAGTAATTGGGGACTAGAGCTTTGATTTCCTGAGATGATCAGATTGTGGAAGGAGAGATTTGAGGCAGATAGCATGGAGATCAGGGGTCTAAAATGCCTATTAAATGTTCATGAAGATAGATGGGATGCAAATATGGAGTTCAGGGGAGAGGCCTGCTCAGTAAACGTGGGAATTGTCAGCTATAATGGTATTTAAAGCCTTGGGTCTGGGTGAGGTCACCTGTGGAGGAAAGTGTGACTTCCTAAGAGGACTGAGCTCTGGGACATTCCAGTACTTAGAGGTGGGGGAAATAACAAAGAACCAGCTAGTGGCCACTGAGAATAGAGCCTTGGATTTAGCAACCACTAATGAGGACCATTAGTGTCATTTGAAACAATCTCACTGGTATGGTGGAGAGGGCTCAAAATATTTGTAGGGAATTAGAGAGGAATTAGAGACAACAAGTGTAGACATTTCTTTTAAGAAATTATAACATAAAGGGCAAAAGAGAAGTGAGGCAGGAACCAGAGGAAATGTGGCTTCTGAGAAGGATTTTTTTAATGTAAAATATATTAAAGCATATCTTTATATTGCAGTATCCTTATGGATCCAGGAAAGAAGGGAAAATTGATGGTGCTGGAAGGAGACAAAGAAATTGCTGTATCCTTGTCCTTGAAAAAGCAAGATGGGATGTAGTCTTCCAGAC